TAATACAGGAACTTGCAGCAAGGGAAAAAGATCTATTCATCTTTGCTTCTGCCATGAGCAGGGGACACATGGCAATACAGTTTCTTTCTAGAAATAAGAGAAACTAAGATTTGAGTTTGTTGAGTTCAGTCCCAACAGGCAGAGAGAAAGAAAAGGAATGTCTTCTAACTTCCCTTCCTTCAAGATTTTCACTTTTTCCTGTCCAGTTCCATGCTCCTTTTTTTTTTTTTTTTCTTTTTTCTTTTTCTTTTTTTTCCTCCTCTTCCTTCTTGACCCAGAGAAACTTTCCTCCTTTAATCTGGGTAGGATTGGCAAAGAGATATTCATTGGAAATACAGCCTTTTTGTTTGCAGTTTTAGTGCCAAGGAAATATCTGTAGGGAAAGTTGCTCCAAGGAACAACATGTGCTTGCTGCTCTATGAGAGAAGTTCAATTAGGGAGGGAGCTAGTGGAGAACAATAAATACAGACAATGAACAGGGAGCACAGGTGACCAATCTAGGTAATTTTTTGTCAAAAAAAAACCCCAACCCGTTGATCTCATTCTCCCCAGTAAAGAAATATCTTACTACACAGATGCATTCTAGCTGATATTTAATATGCTTTTTTCTTTCTCTTTATTGTGCCTCTGCCATAGTCAGCACTTAAAATGTATGGCATCCCTGAAATGATGCAGCTCTTCAACAGTTTTCATTTCCACTTCATTGTTTTGCATGGAAAAAAAAAAAAATTAGGAACTCTAAAATAGACACTAACCTACTCTTTGCTTAGAAGCTGAAAATCCAATCTCGTTATTTGTTCTTATTTAATTAATAATGTACTTTTAGAGATGAGAATAAATGAAAAGTGAATACTTAAGACACAGAATCACAGAATCACCCGGGTTGGAAGGGACCTCAAGGATCATGTAGTTCCAACCCCCCTGCCTAGCAGGGCCACCAAACATACACATTCAGATCAGGTTGCCCAGGACCCCGTCCAACCTGGCCTTGAACACGTCCAAGCACGGGGCATCCACAACCTCCCTGGGCAGCCCGTTCCAGGGCCTAACCACTCTCCTTGTAAAGAACTTCCCCCTAACATCCAACCTAAATCTTCCCTCCTTCAACTTGGATCCATTTCCCCTAGTCCTGCTGTTGTCAGCCCTTTTGAAGAGTTTACTCCCCTCCTGGGTGTAGGTTCCCTTCAGGTATTGATAGGCTGCAATGAGGTCACCCCGCAGCCTTCTCTTCTCCAGGCTGAACAAGCCCAACTCCCTCAGCCTGTCCTCACAGGGGAGGTGCTCCAGCCCGCTGATCATCTTAGTCGCCCTCCTCTGGACCCTTTCCAAGATCTCTATGCCTTTCTCGAACTGAGGGCTCCACACCTGGACACAGTACTCCAGATGGGGCCTCACAAGAGCCGAGTAGAGAGGGACAATCACCTCCCTGTCCCTGCTGACTACCCCTCTCCTGATGGAGCCCAGGATCCCATTTGCCTTTCGAGCTGCCAGAGCGCACTGCTGGCTCATGTTAAGAAGTGAATACTTAAGAAGCAGGAAGTGGAAAAATTAATTTTGACCTCATGGGAAAGTATTTTTAAATATGTTTTGCACTGCTGTTTAGTAAATCTTTTAGAAAATGGGCTACCTTGTTCAGTGGTGTATTGTAATTTACTAAACAGTACTGATATTTATCTTATTCTTTACACTGGCTTTCACTCTGATGTTTACATCTTCTCCTTAGATGTAGAATCTACCCCCAGTCTTTAAAATCATAGAGGCTGTTAAATTCTGAGATTTGAGCATCCCCAAGAACCAAAATTCTTGGAGCAACTTGTTTCAATATTTGACAAAGTATTTTCCTCAAATATAATTCACGGTCAAATATATATATATATCTAGCAGCATATGAACAGAAAATCCTGACACTAAAAGTAAAGTACAGTAAGTAATGCTGTACTTTCTTCCTGTATTACATGAATAGCTTGCCTGGCACAACTAATAACAGAAAAGACTTTATAATTCACTAACATCTTCACTGAAGCACCCATTTCAGTATGCATGTATTTTTCCAAACAGAAAATAATGAGATTCTGCAATGGCCTTCAGCTGTATTTCTGTGCTGTGAGATCAAAGTAACTTCTTGGTATGATGAGAAGAACTGATTCTTGTGACACTAAAGCATCCACACATCCACAATATCAGTATCACAATCTAGTCTATTAAAATTAGTCCAAGATAGGCTGTTCAAATCATAAGTCAGTAGCAGCAGTGGAGCAAGCTGAGAGTTTTGTGATGATTTTGCTAAAGAACAGTACCATCTTGCAGTCAGTCCACAGGGAGCTGAGATGTTGAGACTTCTTGCTCTCTAGCTATATTACTACCTCACACCTCACGGTTCCTTCATGTTTCCTCAGTTTCTGTGCTTTTTTTTTTTTTTAATTAGATGTGGAATTTAGACATGATTTAATTCATCTTTCGAAAGAGTGGGGTTTTTTTCTTTTTTCACTACTTTCTGTAGCATATTTCTGAGAAGATATCAAGTGCTTTTCAGAGCCTGACCACAGCAGAATTACTTCAGATCATGCTTGAAAGGAATTCCAGTTTCTGGTTGTACTGAATGTTTGTCACTTCCATTAGCTGGTGACGAGGACAATTTGCAACCAAACATTGGATTTTAAGACTAGAATTCTTCTGGTTCCACACTGATACTTGTAAGCTGGATATTTATCAGTGGGCACTGTGGGCACTGATCAGTGCCCATTTGAAGAGCTTTGGGCTCCAGGAAATCTGTGGAAGTGTCAGAATCCATCATTCCTGACTTTTTGTCCAGTCGCATGGAATGCATTTTCCACTCTTCCTCTTCATTTACTTCACAAAGACTCCAATTTGAATTCATCTTTCATCCACAATTACTGACTCTGTTATCCTTTCATAAGTATACCATGTCTACCATAACCAAAGACACTGATCTGTATTGTCCTATCTGGCAAGTAGAAGGTCTTCTCAAGGCCAAACTGACAAGACCCACAGCCGTCAATTATGAAAGACCAAAAATAAAGATGAGCTTTATATAGCAAATAGGATTTATTTAGATATCAACTATCACCTCAAAATAGCAAAAGGCATGGTTGCTGAGAGAAAGAGATACAAATATACTCTAGAAACCTTATGTGGTTTTATAAATAACCAGGTAAATTTATATATAGACAGTTATTAAATAGTTTTGTCACTATAAGAAACTCCATTTTTCTCTCCATATACAGAGTCACATTTGCGAGACTACAAATTAGTATGAGGTATTCAGAAAATGTGATTGACCTTATCTGAAGCACTTTTATTGCTCATTAGAATGCTGGGCTTTAGTGATTTACATGGCCTTTGCAAACATGGCACATAAGCTTTCCAAGTTTTCATTATCACAACATAGTTAAGCAATGTTTCCAATGTTGTATGTGTAGTCCTTACTGTTTGAGTAATGGTTGTTATTTTCACTGAAATAAATGTATTCACACATCACAGTATTTGTAAGTGAACAAAAAAACTTGGTCAACTAAGCCGAATTCCAAGAAGTGTTTAACCTCACTAAAGTAAAGCAAAAAGTATGCCCTCTAAAATTCCTTATTTGGTACTACTGAGACAACAGAACCGACAGACTGCTGGGTAAAAGACCTGTTGTACAATGCAAATACATTCAATGAAAAGTGATATTCATATTTTTAAAAAATAAAAAGAAGAAGAGTAAAACATTTGTTGAACAGCAAAACAAGTACAATTTTTTTTTTTTTTTTTTTTTTTCAAAATGAAAAGAAAAACAACAGCTTGAAAATAATAGAAGGAATACAATGTGAACAGTTACACCTTTATTTTTATTGGGTGTTAACAATCTACTTTGTATTAAGAGGAATTTCATCAGACTAACACAGTTTAAGAAACTTTTCATTTGGATGGAGGCTGAGACCAGGAGAGGTACAATTCTTAAAGAAATGTAATATCTCAGTATTGCAGCTACTCACAAGACAAGTGACAAAAACTGCCACTGACTTGGTGGAAACTGATTCAGTTTTGAGAAATTTTAAGGAGCAAATCTCTGGCCGATATCGGTGGTTCTGAGTAAGGACGTTTTATATTTTCAGTCTGACTGAGAGTGGGCCTAAACACATTTTGAACACACTAGTACAGTTTCTCACATCAATATTCTTCATATTGCCAAAACAGGTGGAAATAAATTGTAGGAAATGTCCCAGGTGTTGTTTTCTAAAAAAATGTTCTGACAGATGAGTGTTATTTCCCACAGCATGTTGTTTTCCCTGTTTGTAGATAGGAAGCTATGAGCAATCAAAAATAAGATAAGCTTTATGTTATATTACTGTCTGTGTGTATGTTACAGAAATAGAAAGATCATAAATAAGAAGTGCATGTGATAATCCATGTCAGGACTCCTGTACGCATTATAAAGCAAGAGAAGAAGAGGAGATTAAAGCAATCTTAAATTGTTAATGCCACAGTCGAATCTAGCATCATTAGAACAGGACTTTAAAAAAGATCTCACTTCAACACATCAGCAGAGCTAAGAAATAACAAGGGTGGAAACCATCTTTTTTTTTTTTTTTCATTCAAAGTGTAATGAACTATTTTCAAATACAGCAATTGCTTGAGATAATTCACTCCAGATTATCCCAGACGAAAGGCAGACTCATAGAAAAAAAGCAGACATATTAGAATTTCACCAGTCTGGAGATATCCTTCAGGCTGACCCAGAGCACTAGCTGTTCTTTTCTAAAATAGGGTCAAATAATAGACCTGAAACTTCTGAGTGGAGTGGCATTTCTGCTCAATGAAAGCAAGCCTGAGCTGTCTGCTTGACACTCATATTGATTCAAAAGGTTTCAGTTGTGGATTTTTTGTGCAAATGTAATGAAGATGCTGTCACTGATGGTGATGCTACCAAAGCTACTTTCCAAAATGACTGGTTGAGATCTTGTAGAAGTAGCTTTTTACTGTTTCTGATGAGTCTGAAGTAAGAAGAATCGAGTGGGGGAAAAAAAGAAAAAAAAGAAAAAAAGAAAAAAAACCCCAAAATTTAATAATGTTAATCTAGATTGCTCTTTGTTTCACTTTATAAACTGTTATACCATTTTTGCTGTTCACATTTGTATCTAAATATGTTGTTCATTCTCTTGCTCCAGGAAATGTTTTGAAATTGCCATGCAATTTCTTCGCCATTGATACAGTGAACTTGTCTGGGCACGACCTCCACTACAAATCATAGAATCATAGAATCATAGAATCACAAGGTTGGAAACGACCTATAAGATCATCCAGTCCAACCATCTCCTCATCACCATTGCCACCACAAGCACTAAACCACATCACGCAGCACGTCATCCAGACACCTCTTGAACACTGCCAGGGACGGCGACTCCACCACCTGCCTGGGCAGCCATTCCAGTGCCTGACCACTCTCTGAGAGAAAAAGTTCTTCCTTATGTCCAACCTAAACCTCCTCTGATACAACTTGTGATACAAGTCTGTGATACAACTCTGATACAACAAATGGAAAGAAGGAGACAGAGAATGTGTGAGAAAGTGCAGATTCAGAATCTTACCCACTTCTTACCGCTTCCTGCACTGCCGGCATCCAATCTTTCTGAAAAAGCGAAACATAAGGTTTAAGTCTAAAGAGGAACGCTATGATGGTCAGACCTGAATCCCTGGAAACCACAGCGTAGATATCTCATCCCAGGAACTGCTGCACACCCCCGTGCCCCCATGCACCGCCAATCACTTCCCAGTGCCGTGTCATGAAGTTGAAGCCTGTAGCAGAAGGACAAATGTCACATTTTACTGTGTTTCTCAAGCGCAGTTCAATTAACTAAGACCACCAATCACAGAAGACCCTGAAAGTAACTCAGATTTTGTTCAACAGGACTCCAGAAGAGCCAAAAAAGTCCCAGAAGGGACTGATCGCAGAATACGGGGAAGGTTTCGGTTGGTTCCGCCATCCAGGGAGCCCCGGGATAACGGAGCAGACCTGCAGCTGTCGCGAGAGCGGCTGACGTGATGCGAGCGTTGCCAGGGCAACGGCGGGAGATTTGAACGGGCGCAAACCCAGAGGAAGCCCTTGATCACCAAGATTTGCTGCTTTGGAGCTGTCCCAGGCAGAACCGCAGCGAACGATCGCGAGGTACAGGGAGGGGGTCGGTCTGTTCCTTCATCCAGGGAGCCCCGAGATAACGGAGCAGCCTGGCAGCTCTAGCAAGAGCAGCTGACGAGGCGTGAGGGTTGCCAGGGCAACGTCTCTGCATCCACGCCCCTTTACCTAGAAAAAGCCTCCGGGAGGGCAGCGGTCGTCGGGAGGAGTAAGGGAGTGTGAAGCATGTGGGCTGGTCAAATGTGGAGACTCCGTAAGCCACCCATTTACTGGACAACGCATTTAGAAAGGTTGTTTTTAACATAAAGAGAGTAATAGGTGTGGGGCACTTGTTAACGGCCTGGTAATGGGGCAAGGGTGGTGCCAGCATTACTGCCAGGGCAGGGCTGATCAGTCACACCCTGTTAAGGCTACATGAATAGTGCTAATGAGTCTGCTGGGGGAAATGCTGTCTGGATGGCTGGGCCCAAAGAGTTGTGCTCAGTGGAGTTAAATCCAGTTAGCTGGATGCTGGTCATGAGTGGTGTCCCCCAGGGCTTGGTGCTGGGGCTGCTGTTTAACATCTTTATTAATGATTTTGATGGGGAGTTTGAGTGTGCCCTTAGTAAGCTTGAAGATGGTGCCAAGTTGGGCAGGAGTGTTGATCTGCCTGAGGGAAGAAGGGCACTACAGAGGGACCTGGACAGATTGGATTGATGGGCCAAGGTGAACTGTATGAGTTTCATTAGGGCTGACTGTTGGGTCCTGCATTTTGGTCACAGTAACCCCAGGCAACCCTACAGCCTTGGGGAGTGTCTGGAAAGCTGCCTGATGGCAAGAGACCTTGGTGTACTGATGGACAGTGGGCTAAATATGAGCCAGCACAGGATCCTGGCTTGTATCAGGAATGGTGCAGTGAACAGGAATAGAGAATTAATCCTGCCCCTATACTCAACATTGGTGAGGCCTCACCTTGAGTACTGTGTTCCATTTCAGACACCTCAGTACAAAAAAGAAATCAAAGTGCTGGACAGGTCCAAAGAAGGGCAATAAGGCTTGTGAAGGGCTTGGAGAATATGCCCTATGAGAAGCAACTCAAGGAACTGGGGCTGTTTAGTCTGGGGAAAGGGAGTCCGAGGGGAGAGCGTATTGCTCTCTTCCAATACCTGAAAGGTGCTTACAGCGAGAGCGGGGTTGATCTCTTCTCACTGGTGACAGGTGACAGGATGAGGGAAATGGCCTTAAGTTGTGCCAGGGGAGGTTTAGGTTGGATATCAGGAAAAACTTATTTACAGAAAGGGTTGTTAAGCACTGCAATAGGCTCCCTAGGGAGCTGGTTGAGTCACCATCCCTGAATGTGTTTAAAAACCATTTGGATGTGGTGCTCAGGGACATATTTGCCAGAGGGTTGTTAGTTAAGGTAGTATGGTTGGGTCGTGGTTGGACTTGATGATCTTTAAGGTCTTTTCTAACCTGACTGATTCTGTCTGTGAGAGATTGGCTGGCATCTAAAGGTTTAAATTACACATCTGATTTCCTATTCCCAGGAATTACTGGATTATACGACACCTTCCATTTGCAGCTGTGAACCTTTTCCTTTGCAATGGTTTAGTAGATTTAAAAAAAAAAAAAAAAAAAAAAAAAAAAGGATTTCCTGACATTTTAAAATCTTAAAATATACTTTCATTTCACTTCCAAAAAGTTATGAAATAGCTTCCTGTGCAGCATATGCTTTTTGAAAGTGGAGCCACAGTCTAAAAGTCAAAGGAACATTATTATGTGGGAAGCCTGACATACTTGCTAAGCAAATGTCCTCACCTAGGAACTTATGTCTCATTTCTTACATCTAGAAGAAGAATAGGTTGTAAATATAAGCATATGAGATCTTGATACCATCCACAGTATATTATAAGAGAAAGCTCAAGAGATGAGTAACTGGATGATGTTCTCTACTGGTAATTTATATAGTACCCTTTCCATAGCATAGAAACATGTTAAATATTTCATAAACCTCAGCTCACTGCATATATTCTTAGAGAAGGACATAACTCCTTTCATGGCACATGATCAGAAAATATTGAAAATACTACTGTGAATAGCCACTGAAAAAACTTGAGCTCATGCTTGACTTAAGAATGTTGCTTTCATTATGGTGACTTACTTATTTTTGGGTCACCTGTTTTCCAAAAGGCCTGCAGAAACGTTCTACATCTGATTTTTTTTTTTTTGTGGTTTTTTTTTTTTTTTGGGGGGGGGGGGGGGAGGGGGAAGCAATATCTATGGGTAAGTTCCCTCAAAAAACTCCAAGATCCCCACTGCAGTCACATGTTACTTTTCTTTATGAAATGATTATTCTTTGTCCTCTTCTGCCATGCAGAGAAAGAAAGGTTTTAAGATTTTATTTCCAGACTTCTGGAAGCTGATGTGATTCTGTTTAGTCACTCTAGGGAATGATCTCAGTTACATAATGTTTGCTTCTTATCTCACAGGACACAAACCTCAGGTTTGGAAGCATAGATGATATGTTTGAGGAGAATCTGCCATTTCTCTTATACAGTAGTGAAACAACATAATAAAAGGGAGAAAGGGAAGACCTTTTATTATATAGTCATAGCACTGTCTAATTTGTGACGTTATTCTTTCCTATGCTCAATTGCTCTCTAGCAGGAAAAGGCACAAACTTTGGGGCTTTTCCATCTTTTCTTTTACTGATTACAGTTCTGTTGCTATGCATATGATGGGAAATATCCTGAGTTAGCACTGTACTAGCTAATTCAGGTATAGGTTGCAGAGAAAATGTTGGGCTTAATGAAAGATTAAAAACTGATGAAGCAAATTGTATGTGTGTAGTTAGGTTTTGCTGAGCCCCATACTGTTACCATTCTATTGAATGTAGGCTATATAGCTTTAACTTAATTTTGTTGTATTTGTAATATATAAACATAGCTTAATGGAATATAGGTGGCTGTTGTTAGGAATCACATTTTGGATTTAAAAAAAAAAAGTTATTTCTTTTAACAGGGAAAATTGTATCACCATGTGTTCAGAGCAAAGATAATGCAAACCACTACAAAGATTTTTATTCCTTGTCAAGGCAAGAATGGGAAATTGTAATGGATTTTTGTTCACAGCTGATTTTATAACCTATCACATTAAATGGCATCACATTCACATGACCTGGCTTTACATAACAGAGTTATAATAGCTCAGCTGAGCACAGAACCTGCATTTTGCTGTAGCAGTCGATGTTTAGTCCAACCCAATATTAATTACTCTCAGCAGGTTTTAAATTTTCTTGTTTCTGTAGAATTAAAAATAGTTTTCTTCACATTAAAAGGATCTGGTATCTATATGCTGTACACCAAAGTGACCCTTTAACTGAGGCCATGGTGAAATTGGCTCCCGGAACATTGTTTTAATTTTTAGCTGTATTTAGTAAATAAGATCTTTGAATCCCTCTGTCAGTACCACATAATAACTGCTTAATTAGTTACCCAGTTACAATAAGATACGACAAAAAGTAAAGGTCTCAAAGATATGATGTTCCTGTACATTTTGTAAAGACTGAGGGTTAGAGAGTAGAGAAGGATCCAGATTGGTGCCAGTAGGGGTGGAGCATGGTCTCAGCCACAGGTGATCAACTTGCCCTGCTAAAGCACCCATCAGTGCTCCTTCACTAAGCAGTCAGTTTGTGGGTGGGTCTAAACCCACCACAGCAAGTACTTTTATCTCATGTGACAGACAAACAGATATCCCTACTGCAGTGCAGGGCCCAAGGGTCCTGAGCACAGTTATCAAACTGCAGTCACACTAGCACTGCATACAAGGGCACAATCACTTTCCTAACCCTGCTGTCCACGTTATTTCTGATTCAAGACAGTCTGACATTGTTGGCCCTCTTGGCAACCTGAGCCCACTGCTGGCTCATGCTCAGCCAGCTGTCAACCAGCACCTCCAGATCCATTTCTGCCAGACTGGACAGCCTCTCTTCCCCAAGCCAGTACTGCTGTGTGGAATTGTTGGGACAGAAGTGCAGCACTGAGTCTTGTTGGAGGACATGGAACTGGATGTGACTCATAGATCTGGCCTATCCAGATCCTTCTGAGGATCCTTCCTGACCCCCAGCATATCAGCAATGCTGCAGAAATTAGTATAATCCACAGATTTATTGAGAAAGGACTCAATATACTATTGTCCACATTGATAAAAATATTAAGCAAAAGTAGCTGCAGTGCAGAGCCCAGGGGAATGTGACTGGTGAACATTTACCCAGAAAACTGTACATCTGTCCCAGCTATGAGAAGCCTGTTTCTCCAGAATGCCATGAGGAACGGTGTTGAATGCCTTACTAAAGCTGAGATAGACAACACAGCCTTTTCCTCACTTTTTTTTTTTTGCCTCCATGAATTTCTCATGGAAACTTTGCAGTGTACATAGCTCAACAAACTGTTCATACTGATACATTGCAGAAAGTCTTTGGATGACCACAGGAGCTGCACTAGTTCTAGTTCTAGTCTAATCATTTTCACATGCTTACTGTTCTTCCAAGGTCTACTGGTATAAAATGCTGCATCACTGCACATCTTTATCCTCACGGTTTAATAAGTAAATACAAGCAAACACTGAAAATTAAGGTAGGTTTAAAAGGGATGATTTTCCCTACCATACTTTTTCAAGACAACGCTCAGACTAAGTTTCATTCTAAATGATTAAATAGTTATGTGCATGATACACACAGTAGGTTGGACAGCAAGTGACATTAAGGTCTTATCACTGAGGCATAATATTATTAATATGTGCAGAACATGATGTCTGACAGAGAACATTAACCACAGTTGGAGAGTACGAGAGGCCTTTCAGAGAGGAAGTATTTTAACAAATGTTCTTATTGAATACTAAAGTGAAAAATAAGTCTGGGCACTCAAGTCAATGATAAAAAGATTTTTAAAAAAGTGTAAAAAAGTCTAAATCTACCATTTTCCTCACATTATATGGCAAAGTACATGCATAGAAATTGGAAACTTTACATATTCTAAATGTTAACCTCAGTTATCAGGAGCTGCTTGCATCTAGTAAAGCACTTTTTCTTCTTATAGGTGCTCTTGACTTAACATC